TTTTTAATTATTCTTTTCACCCACAATTCAAAATCAGTGTCTTATTTCACTAAATTATAATTTAGCAAATGTTTTATTTATTATTACTTTAGCTAGCTATTCACTAGCTATTGTGAATTTTGCCTTTTCTTTAATGGAAGGGTAAGAACACATTAGAGGACGACTGTACATTTATTTGTGTATTTTATGATTTGACGCTGGGGGGAAATGCACATGTTGTAAATATTGAAGGGGGCATATCTCCTGCATTTCCTCTGTAATCAGTGCTGATCGGTAAATGCTTGATTGTGTGGAGAAGTTCTCTGTTCTTAGGGTTGTGCATTCAGCTCTCGCCGTCTGTCCGTCTGTCTGTCTGTCCGTCCGTCTGTCTCTCTCTCTCTGGGTCTCATGTATCCGTGGACGACTGACTGGCACCAGTGACAGGTTTCCTGGCACCTGTCTCCAGCTCTTGGATGGAAGTTAGGTCATCGAGCCTCCGGCCGCGACACCTCAGCCACGTTTTCGTCATTTCTGTGACACATCTTTGTGGCTAAAGATCAGCTCTCTACCAGGTCGGTTTGGACCGAACATTGCCAACGAGGAGAAGCACCTGTCGGAGCAGGTCTGAGCTCGGCCGCCCTCTCTCCAGCTCTGCCCTGTCACTGTTGACGAACACTTTACTCCGCTCTAAATTTGCCCCTTTCGTTCCCTTCCAGCTGAACCCCACCTGCCCTCCTCTCGTCCCCCCCTCGTCACCAGCCTCAGATTCCCTCCTAACCCCATTCCACCGCCACAACCCCTCCAGCACACACACACACACACACACACACACAGACACACAAACCCCAGCTTGTGTATTTGTGTGTTAAAGTGTGCCGCCGCCGAGCAGGGAGCGTCCAGTGACCAAGCCATGACTGGCAGCCGCACACTCACATAGCAGCTTTGCTTGGAATCGGTCATTGGGATCATCTTCCGGTTGGATCAATACATTTAACGCTATTGTTTTTTTGGGGGGAAAAAGACCAGACAGGTAAGGAAGGGGGAACACTTGGGGTTGTCTACAGGTGGGGTAGAAATTGTGATGACGCTGCAAATGGGCCTGTGTCACATGTGCGTGGCTGGAAGTCTGAATAATAAAACAGCACGAAGGAAACACACCAGGTTATTAGATTTTTGCTGCATTTGTTTGGAAATTTAATAGAGGAAGCTGTGGTTATGCCCAGCTCCCTGCTCCTTGTCCTGATTGGTAGAGAGAAGAGGAAGCAAAAGGTAATCAGATAATCAAATGCTGTAATTCAGTTGGTCGAGGGCCATTAGGCTCCTGATCCTGCATGTTATTGATACTGCAGGCGGAGTGAATGAGTTTGCAGTCAGAAAGAGGAGGACAGCTGGGATGATCTGTCTGGAGCTAAATTTAAAATGCCGTACCCATGCGGTTGACTATCTATCTATCTATCGATCGATCTATCCGGAAACCTCTCTATGGATGTCAGAGCGATGATGTAACTGAGTTTGTGTGTTGTCAAGGAGACTCCAATCTGTCGCAGTGGATGAAAAATCTGTTACATCCGTTTAAAGGGTGGAAGTAGGGAAAAAAAAAAAAAAGAAGTGTGTCGGTTATATAGCCCGCAGGGTGAGGCAACACAAGACATACCAACCAAACCTGAGTGACAGTGTGTGTATATGTGCGTCTGTTTGCTGCCGGTGGGGGTTCACAGTGCAGGCCTGGCATGCCTGTGTGACGCTGTGTTGGGCCATCGAGCTCTGGTTGGTGGAAAGAGGGATCAGGTGACCGGGTCCACGCTAAATCGGTCCTCCGCATGGACAAGTTGAGGAGTTAGGAGAATCTGAGAGTTGGAGGCGGAGGGTTAAGAGAGTTTTCAGGATGAGAGCTATCAAAATGGGCTGACAGCATGCAGAGGGAATACACTGGTGGTCTCTGTACATCACAGCGGACCCTTAAAACCATCTACAGTGCTGCCTGTTTATTGTTATACCCTCAGTCCAGGATGGAATTATGACTATATCCGGGATGTTCCAGTAAATGGGTTTCAAGATGGCGGCGAGTTTGGGTGTGAAAGCTAGACCAGCCAGATCTACATGACCTATATCAGCATATATTGGCATGTATTTGGGAAATAAAGTATTTAAGGAAAGAAAACAAGACTTAATAATAAACTAGAAGAACGTGTATAAACATGAAAAAAGGCCAAACATTAAAACGGCCTACTTTCTACTTACCATCAATAAACAGATTTTGTGGTTTTGCTTCAGTGAAATTTTTGAACCTTTGTTGGTACGAAAAGCCACCACATCAATAAAAGTTATTTCCTTTAATCAGAGGATTAACTTCTCATGATTAACGAGCTGAGCGGTTCAGTTATGAGTGACGACATGCGATCATCTTTGATGTTCCCAAATTATTGTCAGACAGTGTGAGAATAACTCAGTGAAGCAGATCTCAGGTGAACAGCTAATTGACAAACAAACCAACACATTGTCTTCTGCGGCTGATCAGGGTGTGATAATTTGCTCGTGAGCCGTAACAAACGGCTGACCGTGACTTTAAACGGGAAAAAGTCATTCCTGGAATCAATTACAGGGAATTTCGTTGTGACAAAAACCAGGATTATGATGTTATTCTATGACAATAAACAGGCTGTTTTACTGGAGGTTATACAGGAAAAGATTCAAGACTTTGATATTTTATGATTATAGACGGAATATTCTATAAAGCAGTGTGACATTAAGTGAGCAGCTCTGTATTAGTTAAAAATCCAAGGTGGACAAGACGAGACTGCACAGATGGAATTCTGTTTGTATAGAAACATTAAAAGTCTCTACAAAGATATGTATTTTTTTCCAATTTTACTGAAACTGCGACTAATGTGTTCCTTGCCCCTTATCTTTAGCCACACTAGCAGCACAACAGCATTGGCCAACCTGCTGGTCCAACACTTTCAAACAGACTAAAATAACTATTGAATGTAATCAGATGTTTGTGTTGCCCAGAAGGCGGATCATAATGTCCTGATTTTACCTGTTGCTTCAGCAGCCGCTTCAAGTTTTTGGCTTTTATTGACGTATATTTATAACAACTGGATGGACCGCCATGAAATCTGATGCACACATTCATGAAATCTGTGATCTAAACCGTAGTCTTTGGGTCTAACACTGGATGAGTTGTCATTCAGTTTCATGCAAACATTTCCTAAGTTGTCCTGCAGCACTAACCACAGATGAAACTCTTCACATATCCAGTAACCCTAACAAACTGTGAATCTTAACTTTGTTGGTCCCCAGACTTTATTCTCGTTCCATCATCCGGCAAAAGTGTAACTTGTCCAAAACGTTGATCTATGAGCAGATACCTACGAACTAATGGCAGTTAGCAGGGAACGCTCCCACAATCTCTAATAATGTTTAAACGTTTTAATCTCAAAGGAAAGAATATTTCTGTGTTCTAATAATGTTCCTATGAGGTCAAACGTTTTAACTGAGACATTCAGAGATGTTTGGAGGATGTTGGCAGGTTGCATGATAACAAATGAAGAATGTTCTTAAACCAACATTCAAGCAATGCTTTGAAGATGTTATCAGCAATGTTTTTGATTAAAACATTCCTGTAATATTACATATTAAGAAAAGGAAGAACATTTTTACCTTCAATACTCTGGGGATGTTTTGCGAATGTTGTTGAGAGAACACATTATAAAACGTTCTTCCATGAAACATTACCACAAAGTTACATGATATGAAAGGAAGAATGTCGTCAATGCAGCTTCCTGCATTTACAAGGAACGTTCTCGGAACTCAAAGACAACTTCCTGCTGAAAACATAACTGGATCTTTGCAGAACTTTCTCAAAATGTTTAGAGAACAAAAGAATTCTGACGTTTCCAGTCTCAGCTGCACTTAGAATAATTAGCAAGTGTTAGCATGCTAGCGTACTAAACTGAAATGGTGACCATGATGAACATTACACCTGCTAAAGGTCAGCAGGTCACTTCCCATTTGGCGCATGTTAGCGTGCTGCCGTTAGCGTTTATCACTGCAGTGTTTGTGCAGCCTGAAAGAACTGCTGGCATGACTGCAATAACTGTTGTATTAGTACGTAGTTTGTCAGGGCAGCTGTGGTACGTCGTGATAGGAAAAGAAAAGGTATGCGATTAGGAATGCAGGGATAGAGTTTGCTGTGTACATCACTACTAGAAATACTCAGGAAATAATGAAGCAGTTATCTTCCACTAATACGAAACTTTATGCACTTTACTGTTAGATTTAATGCAGTCTCTTCAAGGCTGTTATTAGGTTCTTGAACTCTGCATTTTATGTAATTTCCAAATAATTACCAAGAAGTTTCCTGGAGAGAGCTGTGTCATGTGGAGCTAATCGAACACATCAAGTATATTTTTGTCTGAGTCAGTGCAGAGCATGTAAAGCAGCCATTCAAAAATGCATGGACAACGTGAACTGAAGGTTAAAATGATAAGCATAGGGGGGAAAATGACATTTATTCAAGGTAAAATTGGATTGAAATCCCTTTTTCCCGATTATTAGCATAAAATTAAAAGCTGTAATTGGGAAACTATGTCAATACTTTTACATAAACTTTATTATTAATGCTCTTGCAGGTGAAAACACCTCCGTGAAGGACCTTCAGTTTTAGTTTGACAATCATTCAGTCATATTTAATCTGGTTTAATTGTTGCAAAGAGTTGAATCCGAACTTTTACAGTTTTTCCTGCAGTAACCAGCATCACTAAGACACAGTAGATAAATCAGTTTTATTATTTTAACGGAAGTGAAGCAACAGTTTTTGCTTCATTAATCCTCCTATTACCTTCAAATTGATCCCAGCAATTTAAGCCTCCAGAAAGTTATCATAATTAAAATCGTTACCCAAGTTTATGTTTAAATAGCCCTTTAAATAAGACAAAAAAAAAATGACACTTATTTAGAGACGTTAAACATTGAATGCGGTCAAATTGACTCCAAAGATAACGGGAGGGTTAAGTCCAGAATGTTTTAAAAGGTTTATATTTTTAATCTTCTATTTCTACTGTTGTGATTCTGATTCAGTCTTTGTCTGGTCACAGAAACGTACTGATCATACAGATAACGTTACATAATGTGCGTGCGTGTGAATTCTTCACCGTTCTTTGGCGACTGTATGAAAGCCTCCTGCAGTGGCCGCATTTCTTTCTTGATAGATCCGGATGCCACCCGTCAATCAGAGCCCACAGACTTACATAATGTTTGCTTTCTGGTGGATTTCAACAAGGTCCACTTATTCCGCTCGGCTGCTCCAGTGTGCCACTGCTGTGCTAAATCTGTCCACAGCTGAGAGCTCCTGGGGGTTGGAAGCCTCGCGGTGTTGTGTGCGGGGCTGGAATTACACAGTGGGTGGTTTGTTTAAATTAACGAGGTGGACTTGGGTAGGTGTTGATTTCCTCCTACCTTCTCCTGAAAGCTGGCGGGCAGATGTACAGTTTGTCAGAATGTAAAACTTGATTTTTCTTTGGTAGATGTGCCCTCTGTCTAATTAACACTTTGTGTATTTTAGATTTGAATGCAGAAGAAATTAATATCCTGCATACGCGCATATTGTTCATACAGAAATAGACTCCACTTGTCATGCTGACATGATGCAGGTAGGAGGATATTTTCTATGGCAACAGCTGAAAAACCAATCCTGTTTTCTTCCATCTCCCTCCCCAGTCGTACGTTTTACCTACCGGCACTAACCACCGACCGACAAAGTTCCTCACCGTGACTCATGTTTAAAAGCCAACTCTTCCCGTCTGGTAGGAACAGGTGCTCTGGAATCACGGTTACTGTAATACTGAACTCTGAGTGGTGGGCAGAGAGCAGCCATCTTCATTCTTTCCTGTGGGTTTAAAATCATCCCAGGAGGCTACACGGCATTAAAAATACCAGCCATTGTTCCTCATTGGCATAAAGCGCAGAGCTGCGTGCCAAAGGTCGCGGCGCTGCAGCATCTGGTCGCTGTGTTATGATGAGGATGTGCAAGGAATGAAATTGTTTGCCAGCTTTGTAGGCTGGTGCAAAAGTTTAGGATGTAAGATGAAGTCGAATCCTGAATTTTGCCTTTTTATCTCTTAGGTCAAATGGAAATGGTTTGATGATGTTTAACATGTATGTATCTACAGCATAACGTCTGTACCAGGTCTAAGATGAGAGAATTCATGTAGATGTCATACTGTACCAAATATTATCTCTGCAGGCAGATGTGTTAGAAGCTATTTAAGCTGATGGTACAATATGTTTCTTAGACTAGAAATAATAATCCAGCTCCACACATGACTAAATGCATTATTGTGCTAGAAATAGAGCTTTTTAAAAAAAATTACGTATGTGTGGTTAGCACCATTGCCTCACAGCAAGAAGGTCGCCAGTTCGCGTCCTGATGAGGACACCCGGGATCTTTCTGTGTGGAGTCTCCATGTTCTCCCCGTGCAGCGTGGGTTCTCTCCGGGTTCTCCGGCTTCCTCCCACACAGTCCAAAAACATGTTGAGGTTAATTGGTGATTCTAAATTGTCCGTAGGTGTGAATGTGAGTGTGCTTGGTTATCTGTCTCTAAGTGTAGCCCTGTGATAGACTGGTTACCTGTCCAGGTGTCCCCTGCCTTCACCCTGAGTCAGCTGGGATAGACTCCAGCCCCCCATGACCCTAGTGAGGATTAAGGTGTAGAGATGATGGACGGATCTGGTTCCACCATCATAACCCACCACTGAAATGATCAACATCACATGTTGTATATATATATAATACGATAATTTGAATCTTATTTTATGTCCCTTTGTGGTTATTTTGCATGTGTTTGATGTCATCCATGTCTGTTTATGACCGCTTTGTGTCTTCTGGTGGTCATATTGTATTTCTTAGTGTTAATTTTAGTTGATATTTGGTACAGTATGACATCTACATGAATTCTCTCATCTTATGCTGTAGATACATACATGTTGTGCATCATCAAGCCATTTCCATTCAGACCAGAAATATCTCAGTCATCACATCCAGAGGCTCTGATCCCAGACCAGCTGACCTCCTGGACCCCTGGACCAGTTTGTAACCTTCTGTGTACTCAGCCAATGAAAACAGTTTTATAAGGGCTTCCTTCAGTCTGGACGAGCTTTTCAAAGTCGTGTGTTGATGATGTTAAAACGAAGATAGCGGAGTTGCGTCGGGTTGGGGTTGAAAGTTTTCTAATAGAAAGCCAATGGTACCAAATGGAAGAATGGCATCTGAAAGACATTTATCAAGCAGGGAAGGACTGCTGACATGAAACTATGAGGCTGAATCATTTCTCAAGCTACACCTCTATTATTTACTTCCTCCGAGTTGCTCAGATTTACAGACAAGCAACACCTACTGTAACCTTCACCTGGCACGTTCACTGCCCCATAATTTAACATGACGAGAAATCTCTTCTTCTGTGGTTCCTCTCTGAACTCCGCTGCCTGTACGTCTCTATCATCTCCTGCCTGCCAGGTAACGGATCTGTCGCGCTGTGTGTGAACGCAGCCTGTTGCCGCTGCCATAAATTCTCCAGTTACGTAACAGAGACAGTTGATACAATGGGTTTAGCAGCAGTTGCTCTTGTCCCGGCAGCAGGCTTCAGTCAAGGTGCTCACACACACAAACAAACCTGTTTGGAGCGATTATGTGTGAAGGAAAACTGGATGCGCGCGTGGATGTCGTACATGCTGCAGCTGCTTGTTTCTTAAGCTGTGATCCTCTGGTTTAGACTGCGTTTAAGCTGCGTTGATGCTCCTGCTGTGATCCGTATATAGAACTTCCACAGACAGAGACCGGAAAAAAGTTATAGTAGGAGGAGACATGGAAATCTGTAGCGAGGGAGAGTTTAATCTTCTTCTGTTGGCCTGTATGTGTCTAGTTAGTGGAGACACAGAGATTTATCGCGGGTCACACAGACTCCGCTGTGCTGAGGAGGTGGCAGAGTTTAATTTAGCCCGGAAACCTGAACCTCGGCCTCCTCCGTCAGCTCCTTCTCAGGGCCCAAGACAGAGGCGCAGAGGTCAGCCGGCTCAGATTTATGGGGGTCTTTAGGGTATAAAACGATGAAAGATTCCACATATCTTCAATTAGCTGCTGCCAACAAAGTGAGACCATGATGGAGACGCGTAGTGATCTGCTGCATAGGAAATGATGCATTCACTGACCTGGTGATTGAGTCTGTGTGTGCAAGTTTAGCTAATTTTTTGTATTTTTTTGTCCATGTGTGTGGCAGTTTCGTGGATTATGAGATCGTTATAAACAAAAGAGTGAGTTTTGTAGAGCAAAACTGTTGCCATGTAAAACTTCCAGGGTAAAAATGGATGCTACCATTAGGTTTTATTACACTTTTGAGTCCATGTTGATGATTTTATTGTGTTGCATTGAAGCTACTGAAGATACTCTCCTCCCAAAAACTAGTTTCTGAAGATTCATTCTGTTTATATGGTTGCAGACAGAAAACAAATGGGATGATTTCCATGTTTTGACTTGTGTTAAAAATCACGTTAACCTCAGCGAACCTATAAGACGTAATTGCTGCATTTGTGCAACAGTCTGTCTTAAAGCTGGCTTTTGATTGGTTTAAAGCAGAGGAAAAATC